CGAACGAACAAAATATCCAAACTTACCACCAGAAAAAGAGAACAGGGATTCCGGCGGCAGCTGTCACAAGCAAGAACATTCTCCACGCAGGAACTAAGTATCCAATCAGTGGCACGATCGATATTCCAACAGACCAAAACATGATGCCCCCTATCCCGATCCATGAGCGATATTTTTCAGTTGTGAATTCCGTAAGAAGGGGAAAACCAGAGCAATTTCGAAACCCTGTGGAAAATGTAAATCACTGTAAGCATGAAAACTAGACTGGTATTGGATAGTTCATATACTATGCATCAATTAATAAAGCCAATTGTGGTCATTTTTCCAGAGATCTAGATGAATCTTCGGTTGGTTGTAGTTGTTGGGGGAAGTTTTCACAGATTGTGGTAAATAATGGAAAAGAGAATACACAGTCGGGATAGCAATTGATCATCAATCCTTCTCTTCTTGGCCAGTGCTTATAAAACGATCCCCAACTCATTAATTAAAAGAGATGCGGGGATATATATACCAATTGAATAATTCTCAATCCAGTCTTATTTACAGATGATCGAGTAGATATGAACCTTGGTGTGACCCAATCAAGATAAGTAGTGATGATAACAATAATATTAATAATCAATTCTCCCTTATTGACTTAAACCATTTAAAGGGTTAAAAATTGCATGCTTAAATATTAATAGCCTCTCAAAGCACATTGACGAACTCCGAGTAATTATGCTAAATAATCCTCTAGATATCTTAGCTATCAATGAATCTAAAATTAATGAGTCGGTTTCGTATGATGAAATAAGCATTAGTGGTTTTCACCTAATTCGAAAAGATCGCAACTGACACGGAGGCGGAGTATTGATGTATATTCGGGAGACTATTCCTTTTAGCGAACGGAATGACTTACAAACGTCATGCTCGTTGGAAATGTTATGTGTGGAAATTAGTAGACCATGCAGTAGGCCATTCTTAGTAACTACATGCATAGACCCCCTGGCTCAGATACTCGCCTGTTTGACGATTTTGAAAATTTTCTTAGTAGATGTGACTTGGAAAACAAAGAATTATTACTTATGGGTGATCTAAATTGTGATGTTAGTAAGTTTCCTCCTGATGCTCACACGCGTAGACTACAATTTCTTTCATGCGTCTACTAGTTTGAGCAGTTAATTAACGAACCCACAAGGGTAACGAGAACGTCAGCAACCTTGATCGATTTGATTTTTACTAATAAGAAAGAAAATATTGTAAAATCCGGAGTTATTCATCTTGGTATATCCGATCACAGTTTGATTTTTGCCGTTAGAAAATTTTTACTCCAAAATCTCGACAAAATGTTAGATATGTCCGGAACTTTAAAAATTTCAATGCTACGGACTTTCTTAATGATCTATCACAGATGCCATGGGAAAATGTGGCACAATATGAGAATCCAAACTCATGTTGGCAACTATGGAAATCCCTTTACTTGCAAATACTTGATCAACATGCACCATTTAGACGCATGTGAATCCGAGGCAGCTCACTTCCTTGGATTACCCAAATATCAAAAATCTGATGAAAGCAAGAGATTTTCACAAAAAGAAAGCGGTTAAATTTAATTCTCAATTACACTGGGCGAAGTAAAGTAACACCTGCAATAAAGTTAACTCTGAATTGTATAAAGCCAAAAAGAGGTACTTTTGCGACAAATTTGAGGATTGTGTTCAGACTAAAGATCCTAAACAAAGTTGGCACCATATTAATCACCTCTTGGGTAAGAATTTTAAATCAAACAACATTCCCCAACTAAAAATAGGCGACACTATTATTTCTGATAATTTAATGATAGCGGAGGCCTTTAATGACTTCTTCGTGAGCATTGGGCCAAAACTATCTGCTGAAATTGACCATGATACTCTGGACTTGTCAGAAAATCTCGGTACTAGTCCAGTGACTCTATTTACTCTGTCTGAAATTAGTGCATGAATACGAAGTATTTCTTTTGTTAAGTAATCTTAAAACCTCAAAATCGACAGGCATGGATTCTATAGCCGCAAGGGTGCTTAAAATCTCAGCTGAAATAATTAGCCCTTCTCTAACGTGGATTTTTAACCTTTGCATCAAAACTGGAGTCTACATAGATGATTGGAAGAAGGCTTGGGTTGTACCTATCTTTAAATCTGAAGATAGGAAAAAAAGTGAAAATTATCACCCAATATTAATTTTAGCGCGAGTATTGATTTGTTATATAGTGTTTGTGAAAATACGTAGAACGCTAATAGATAATTTGATACATTTATTTTACTTCACAATTGTGGAGTCGTCATTTAATATCTAGTAATGAGTTGAGCACGATTACTCGCTAGAGCGCAAAGCTAAGTAAGACTGTTCTACTAAGAATTTTTACAAGTTATTTTATACGCGAGTTAGAAGAGGCGAGGCGGAAAAGCAATTAAGATTAGTGTCAAGATAATTAAGGCGCGTTAATACAATACAATTAGGCTAGAAGTGATAACAAGATAAAAATATGTACAAGTGTTGGCTGCCAAGAGGAAATTTATGTTAATAGTTTTTGCGGCGTAAAGATTAAATCTAGGCGAGTCTACTTCCTACAAGGTTTAAAAATAATATAAGTAAAAATAATGTTTGTAGAAGTTCCAAAAGTTATTAATGTCTTTGAGCCAAAACAGCATAATATCCGCTTAGTGATATCGGGTGACTATCACTACAGTAGCCCCCTTCCAGTGAAGAAGTTAATAAAGTTAACGACAAACGATTGCCATGTAACGCTCAGGAAAGTGGACATGTCGGCCAGATCTTGTTCGTCGAACTTGAGGTGCTTCTGTAGTTGTAGATGTAGTATGTGTAGCTGGAGTAGAAGAAGGCAAGCCAGGATCTGTGTCGAGATGCGCACATTTCAAACGATCGATGGATACCGTATCAGTGCGATTGCCAAGGTCGACTTTAAAATATTTCAGTGATCGCGAAATAATTTTAAATGGGCCATCATACGGAGGCTGCAAAGGCTTTCGTACGGCGTCACGACGGATGAAAAAGTGGGTGCACGTTTGTAGATCTTTTGGAACATGTGATTTGTGGCGTTGCTGGCGGTCTGGTGGGGGGTTCAGGTCGTTAAGGGTTCGTTTGAGGCGGTCGACGTAGAATGCAGGATCTGGAACAGGGTGGTCGGTGGAGTGGGAAAAGAATACTCCTGGTAGACAGAGGGTCGTTCCGTAAACTCGTTCTGAAACACTGTGGCCAAAATCAGCTTTCACTGCGTTCCGGATACCCAAGAGAACGAGGGGTAGGCGTTCACTCCAGTGCGAGGGGTCGTTGGTAGCTTTAAGAGAAGCTTTCAATTGGAGATGAAAACGTTCCACGAGACCATTAGCAATGGGGTGGTAGGCGGTAGTTCGAACACGGGTAGTGCCAAGGAAGTTGGTTAGGGCAGCAAAGAGATGACTTTCGAACTGTTTTCCACGATCTGTAGTAATCTTGTGTGGAACGCCAAATCGTGCGATCCAATGGGTGATGAAGGCTTGGGCCACGGATTCTGCTGTGATGGTGGAAATGGGAATTGCCTCAGGCCAGCGAGTGAAACGATCAATGCAGGTCAAGAGGTAGGAATTGCCATTTGAAGGGGGTAAAGGACCAACGAGATCGATGTGGACATGGGAAAATCTGGCGGTGGGAATCTCAAAGTTTGACAGGGGTGCACAGGTGTGACGTTGAACTTTGCGGCGTTGACATTGTAGACATTATTATTATTATTATTAAAACTTATTTACAAACAATAACCCTTCAGCCTACGCTGCTTTTAAAGGGATTGTTTACATCAAAGAAAGCACAAAATAAATATTTACAAAATAATATAAGTATTTACAAAATAGTGTAATTGACTAGGAGTCTTTACAATTGGATATTTTATCAACGTAGGTGATTGTTGAGGTTAGTTTTAAAAGAATGTATCGTCAACTGTTCGTGAACGTCTAAGATTTCGTTAGGTAATGAGTTCCAGGCGGAAGCTCCTCGATATGAAAATGACTTTTTCATAAATGATCTATTAGGTTTGTCGAGAGTTAGTTTCCGCCCGTTGCTCCGCATGTGGTGACTTCTATTATCACAGTAGGAGAACATATTACAGATGCACTCCGGCGCTATACCTCGGATAGCCTTAAACGTAATTAGAAATTCTCTTTTTTTAAGAATGTTATCTATTGGATGCCAACCTAGACTCTGGAGGATTGTTTTTGATCTTGTTTCATAGTTTAATCCAGTAATTATACGAGCGGCTCGCTTTTGTAATTTATAAAGTTTTTCCAAATTTGTTTTGTTTCCATCGTTCCAAACTGTCGAACAGTATGTAAAGTAAGGAATTACCAGGGAATTGTAAATACGGAGTAAGTCGTTGTAAGGTACGTGTGGTTTTGCCTTTCTAAGCAGAGCTATTGCACTTGAAAGTTTTTTGCATTGCTCATTAATGTGTTCAGTCCACCTTAAGGCCTGTTTAAACGGATGCAACATTGTCCAACATTGTTGGACCAACAATGTTGGACAATTGTTGGACGATTGTTGGTCAGCATGTTCAAACGGATGCAACAATTAGCCAACAACTTTTAGCAGTCAATTAGTAAATTCTGTTCGAAAATAATTATGCAAAGAACTTTAAAATACTGTCCAATCAACACACGGGTCACATACCGAATATTAATTAAATACGCATAGGTTTTCAATGTTATTGTTTCATGTTTCAAGATGGCCGCTCTTGCTTGCTTGCTGCTGTTAAATTAATATTGTATAGACTTTTACCTCAATCGTATAGTATGAATAAAATTGTTTTTAAAACTATATCAGGTAAATTAAAAACATATCAGGTAAGTTTGTGGGAGAGCGTTGCGACGTTTCATGTCAAATTTAAAATTCTGATCACGAATTTATATTTTTACGTTATGACGAAGAGCTAATACACAAAAGTTATTCATGTCAAAATGTAATCTCTTCAAGAGGTCACATAAACAATGAGAAAGAGAAAATGTATTGCCATCCTTGTCCTGCAAGGGTTACTGGAAATAGACAAGAATCCAAGAGGAAAGACCAGGTCATGGATAAGGAAAAGAGAAAGCCGTGGATTTTACACGAACATCGTGAGGGAATTGATGGTTGAAGACACAGCAGCGTATCGTGAGATGATGAGAATGTCCTACGACGATTTTAAAGTATTGCTACGAGTTGTAGAGCCTCACATAAGTCCGCATCAGGTTCAAGGTGGCCAAAAAGTGATACCAGCCCCGGAAAGATTAACTTTGACTATAAGATTTTTAGCTACAGGTGAGACCTATCGATCCCTGTGCTTTCAATTTCGTATATCGGTGGCTGCGATATCCTATATTGTCAAAGAGGTTTGTGAAGCCATTGTGAAACATATCGGACCACTGTATCTAAAAGTCCCATCCACCACTGAAGAATGGCTTGAGATAGCAGCAAAGTTCGAAGAAATATGGAACTATCCTAACTGTGTTGGAGCCATAGATGGTAAACATATAGTCATGCAGCCACCTGCCAATGCTGGATCATTTTTCTATAACTACAAGCACACCCACTCGATTGTACTAATGGCTGTTGCTGGTCCAGACTATGAATGCATCTATGCAGATGTTGGTACCAATGGGAGAGTAGCTGATGGTGGTGTTTGGAACAAGTGTAGCCTGTCCAAGTCGATTGATGATGGAACTATCTCTCTTCCTTCGGCTAGGTGCTTACCGTTTGGTGTTACAAAGATTCCCTATTTATTTGTGGCTGATGATGCTTTTGCACTGAAACCGAATGTGATGAAGCCCTACCCACAGCAGAGTCTCACCGAAGACAAGAGAATCTATAATTACAGACACAGTCGAGCAAGACGAATATCGGAGAATTTGTTTGGGATCATTGCAAACAGATGGCGTGTAATCAGAGGTATTATTTTGCTCCCACCTGAGACAATAGAATCTCTTATTATGGCGATCCTTGTTCTTCACAACTATTTGCGGAAAAGCATTTCATCCAAGGCATCATATTGCCCTGTCGGACTGCTTGACACAGAATACTGCAATGGTCGTTTTGTCCAAGGGCTGTGGCGCCAAGAAAGCATGTCAGAGTCATTATTGCCACTTTCAGTCTCACCCACAGGCCATAATGCATCAAATAATGCCAAATTAGTGAGAGAGACATTGAAGGATTATTTTTTTGCTGAAGGTTCTGTTGATTGGCAATGGAACTTTTGCTAGACTAAAGTGTATAATTAAACCTTGGTGTGTATGAAACAAAATGTTGCCTGACACATTATTTGTTAGCTTTTAGATGCCAATATGAGGATGTTGTGAATAATTTTATTACAAATATGAAGTCAAACTTGAATTGTGTGTATGATTTTGCATTGACAGTTTGCTAATAAAGTATTCTATATTAAGCAATGATATAATAAACCATATACTGTGATTGAGGTAAAAGTTTATACAATATTAATCTTAGTATATATAGCAATCTTTTTATTCTTTTACTGGAAAATGTCCAGATCATCAATTCAATGACTTGAAATGACCCCCCTATTTACTCCCACCCTCAATAAAGACCCCCCTATTTACCCCTTCAATAAATAATGACCAGTCCCTAAACAAAAATAATTGATTTATTAATTAATATATATCAACACAACAGTAACCCACTGACCCTACTGGAATCATATGATGATACCTGATAAAAATTGAAGTGCAGTGAATTAATATTAATCAAGTCCAATGATTGGATGATATGCAAATATTCTCAGGCCTAGGACTGGATTGAAATAAATTCACTGCACTTACACCACAGAATAAGGCATACAGAAGGTCGAAACCAAGAAGTCCGCCTTCTGTGTACCCTATTCTGTGCT